TTGTCCTGCTTCTTCTGTATGTTGATGATATGATTATTACTAGTTCCGATAATGCTTACATTCAAAGCCTTAAACAGCAGTTACAAGCATCGTTTCATATGAAAGATCTTGGTAATTTGCATTATTTTCTTGGTCTGGAGGTTTCATTCTACATCCAAGGTCATCTTTCTCCATCAACTCAAGTATGTCACATATTTAATCTCTATGGTTGGTCTCCAATCGGCTAATCTAGTGGACACTCCTCTTGAGGTTAATGTTAAATATCATTGTGATGATGGTGATCTCTTATTGTATCGTCAACTTGTGGGTAGCCTTAATTACTTGACTATTACTTGTCTGGACATATCTTTTGTTGTTCAACAAGTAAGTCAATTCATGCACCCTCCTCGCCATCTTCACTTGGCAGCAGTTCATCGCGTGGATTCTTTACTTAAAGGGAAGCTCTCATCGTGGTTTATTCTTTCCCATTAGATTTGCTCCAAAATTGAGTGTTTATAGTGATGTCGATTGGGCATGATGTCCTGATACTCGATTATTTGTCACTGATTGATGCATATTTCTTGGCTTCTCATTGATCTCATGGAAAAGTAAGAAACAAGCGAGAGTCTCTAAATCTTTTACTGAATCTGAGTATCGGGCCCATGTGTGTCACTTATTCTAAAATAATTTGGCTTCGTGGTCTTTTGACTGAACATGGATTTCCTCAAATCGAGTCAACCTCACTTTATGCTGACAATACAAGTGTCATCCAAATCGTTGCAAATCTAGTTTTTCATGAATGCACCAAACATATCGAAGTTGATTGTCATTCAATTCGTGGCGCGTATGATGACCGACTAATATCACTTCCCCATGTTATTACTCAGTTGCAAATTACAGATATTCTTACCAAGGTTGTTTCGCATCCACATCATCAGTTTCTTATTAGCAAATTGATGATCATTGACCAGCTGCATCAATTTGAGGGGGTGCGAATAAGAAATTGATTTGTCCTATTTATTAATTTGTTTCTAGATTAAGGAAAATAAATCAAAAATTGATTTGTTCTCACTAAAATATAATTATTTAGTGTAATTACTAGTATAGCCCTATAATTCAAGAAAGAATAATGTGAAAGGATGAAACCACGAATTATTGACATTGATACATTCTTTTGAGAATATTTGAAAGGGATTACAAAGGAGAATATTTGGAAGGATAAAGGAGACTTCGTGGAGGAGAATATTTGGAAGGATAACGGAGACTTCATTCTTTTATTTTATTTGTTTTTTACTGAAAATGTATCGATTTTAATCTGAACCTTTTTAAATTGTTTCTCGAGGGACATCACACAATATTGAGAGACACATTAAATTACATCCAAAATGGTAAGAATTCCACCTAAATATTACAAAAACAAGAATACCATTGCCAAGAAGAAACCTTGGACAATTATCGTCTCAAATAACGGTTATTAATAGAACACTAATATAAGAAAGATTACATTATCATAAAAATATAAGCATGGTTGATTTAGTTATTCACCTTTTAAGTAATTTCATGTCACAAACAATTCACCTTGTCCTCGTCGTGATACTTATACAAGCTAATCACATATTTCGGTAAAAAGTAGAATTATAACAAACCAAACTTTAAAAATATACTAAAAAAACAAATCATTTAATATATAAAATGTGCTTGAAGGAAGAAGAAGAAAATTACAAAACTTGATGTTGAAAAGGTGCCTGAGATAGAGTACTTATTATTCTAGTTTAAGATATGATATCTCCACAAGTTCTCCATTCAAAAATGGGATTTATACTACTGCTACTATGCTCCAACAACATGAAATTCTATATATTGCTGATACAATGTAATTGATGTTAAATTTACGGTCGTGAATTGCATGACTATTTAAATCGTTAAAAAAAATATCAGATCCATTGGTGTTCAATTTCCAAAATCGGCTACAACACAGCCAACAAATTATTCAATGCTGAAAGCTTGAATTCACCAGCAAAATGCTCGGCCATTGCCTACAATCCATAACTTTTCTCGAGTTTCTGAAGCTGGTTGAGGAAGATCCATGTCATCTGGTATAGGCAATATATAAACTTGAGAAAACACTCAAATATAAATTATTAATAATAGCAGTAGCAACAGTGGTTAGAAAAATATAACAAAGGCGAAAGAATCGTTGTGAAGAGAATAATACCATGACATGAGGAGCGATCCTGACACAATAAACAGGGAATCCAGTGTAAAATTTGAAGGGTCCTCCTGCTTTGAAGGTTTTGACAGCACAGTCAAGAGAGCCTGTGTAAGGATATTTTCCTTCAGCATCAGGTTGCATCTTCTGAATCTGAGTCTTCACGTAATCGAATGGCAAACTGCAAGCTGCTGCGAAAAATCCAGATACACTACTAGCACCTGAACAAGAGATTTAGTAGCAAATGGTGAGAATAGACTCTTTTTTTGCAGTATAATGTAAAGGGGACTTTTGGCATATGTAGCTTAATGAATGTCACTATCACATGGAAGATCATATTTCCAATTGGAAGACAGTTAGTGTGTTCATTAAAGGAGAAACCTTGATATAGAAGTGCTGATGTATAAGCTTCTGAAATATTAAAGAAGACAACTGTACCAGAAACACAACTTGGTATGCAAATAATTGAAGCAGACAATATCAGACAAATTGCAATAGCACTAATGGAAACAAAACCATGCAGCAAAAGGTGAATAACTAAATCTACAGTCCCTTTCGGCATTTAGTACCATCAATATTGGTCAGATAAAGAACCATGCGCCTAATTATAAAGAACAATGAATCAATAGTTTAATTATTGGCATCATGAATTACTCCAAGAAAACAAGGGTTTAAACTTTAGTGCTTTCCTTTAAAAGACCAACACATATAAGGTTGCTCCAGTTCACTTTTGATGTGTGCACAATTCTTTAAACTAAAGTTTGAGCAAAAAATAAATAAGCAGCCTCTTCAAAGTTCAGAGCCAATAATTCACAAGGGCAATCACACCCCTTAGCGGAATTTACTGGGCCAAAAACACAGATATAAGTAATTTGTTAAGGGCGTCCTATCCAACTAGAATTGCAAAGTTAAAAACAATCTGAATAATCTAGAACTATTTTGGGCACGGCTGATAGTTACTAAATTTGTAAAATTTCTTATGAATTATTCAGATTGAATAACCAAATATAACTTTCATCTTAATGTATCACTTAAATGAAAGGAAAACATTTACTATATAATTACTTAACTACAGGGACGGAGATTTTTACAATGTGAACTTGAAAGTAGGGCAGTAAATAAGTTGAGCCAGTTTACACACCACTCAGCTACTCAGCGCAATTCAGAGAGATATGAAAATGGACTTAAATGAGGCAAACTTGAGATTCCATACATTAACTTATTGATTTGAGAACCAACTCTAATTGCAATGATGTTACTGAAAATCGTATATTTTTCCAAGATTGCAATGATGAACCTAAATATTTTTCCGTCAAAAATTGAAATTGTTCTAGACATGTTGGCTTATAAGCATTATTTCAGAAATATTTCAAGATTAAAAATATCAAAATGGTTACTTACCAACCACAGTAGGCATTTCACCTAGACCAACGGTATCCTTGAAGAACTCAACACTTTGATCATAAGATGCAAGCATTCCCATGTTCAATGCCATGGCTCTTACAACAGTAGCCCGGCACCCTTCCAAAGTGACAAAATCCCTTCATCTGCACCAATACGGTAAAGTGCCTGGATGGCATTTGTGTAGTTTCGGCGCTGAGCAATAGGTAAAGTTGCATCAGCCTGCATACGAATAAGTGCCAAATCAGCTGGACTACCAACAGATGCTCCAATAGCACCAGCAGTCAGCCCACATAGAGCTTTTTGGTAGAGTGGGAGGGGCTTGCCATCATTAGCCTCAATTGCTTTATTTGTCCAAGATCCTACCGAAAATTAAAATAACAAAGTAAAACAAAATCATCAAACCATAAAAATAAGCATTGCATAAGCAGTGCAAAGGACTCGCACAAAACCTCATAAAGAAAATAAAAGAAACATGTCCTATTGACTAAATTAAGGGGCCGGTTGTAACACTGTAATTTTTCATACTATGTAATTTCTAATGAAGGCGAATTCAAAAGCTAATCAGCAGCTTTTGAAGAAAGCTCTAAATGAAATCAACATCATAAAGCCATTGTTTACAAAAGTGAATCCGAATCCAATCGTGACGAATAATGTGATCATAACAACTCACCTAAACGTTCCAAGTCGAGCAGTGGTGTAAGTAGCCTGCCTGAGTAACCCAGCCGATAGACCCTGCAAGAAGTGATTCATTTTAGACTTCACACACCACTAGATTCATATCTCAAGAAAGAAAAAATGACAAACCAAATCCTAAATTGCCAAAACATCGTCTCATAATTCATAAGCCAAACCAAAAGAAGCATATAAAATCCCTTCAACTCGCAGATCCATAGGCATGTAACTAAATAAATCAATAAAAGTAAAATGTAATTTGAACCAATAACACAATCATCCAACAAATAAATCTTATCTAGAAAGAACAAACAAACAAAGATCTATGAATGAAAGAAAAACCTTGTAGAAGGCACCAACACCCTCATTCTTGAGCATGTTAGTTGTGACACTTGCAGCAGATCCTTGACCGAGTTGAATCCTAACCTGAACAACAAACAAAAATCACAGATCTGAGTGAAACTTCAAAAAATCGGAAACAACAATATACCAATCTAGAGAAAAAGGAACCTTGATCATATCGATGGGTTGAATGACACAGGTGGCGAGCATGCCGGAAGCACCGCCATTGACGAAAGGCTTGATGGTTGGCCAGAAACCAGAAACAAGAGCAGGCTTGGGTTTCTTCTCGTCTCCCATTGTTGGTGTTGGTGTGAGATTGAAGAGAGCGAAGAAAACGAGAGAGAAATAGAGAGAGAGAGAGCTGAAGAATGAAGGGAGTCGAAGAGTTTTATAAGCCTTTTTGTTGTTTGTGGCTTATTTTGCTTTGGACACACAAAACGCAATGCTCGCTTTTCTCTCTCTCTTCTTTCTTAGCCCAACAAATAAGGAAAACGATGAAATGGAATCAAGGTAGTTTTTTATTTTTTATTTATTTTCTGACCTCACCTATTCCATGGTTTACTAAATGGAATATGACATAACTTGAATTTCAATCTATACATTAACTGTGTGTTTGAATTAGCCATGGAAAAAAATGGGTTCTATTAAAATTGAGTTTGGCAGAAATAACATTTGGTCAGTTATTTGTCTTTGTAGAACGAATTTTAGATTATTATGGTCTCTTTCGTCTGGAAACTACAGTACAAAAACAAAACAAAATAAAATAATAAATTTGATAAAATTGATTATATTAGAATTTAATTTAACATAATTGATTTATGTTTAGATATATTTATATAAAAGTAATTTAAACAATAAATTTTAATGAAAATTAATTTTATAGACAAAAGTTACAAATTTTAACTTTAAATAAAATAAATTCTATTTTTGATAAAACAAACACTTCTAAATTACCCAGAATTAATTCTACACCTTTAAAATTAATTTTAAGTCTTCTTTTAATCCATGCAAAGATGCTAATTAATTTTATAGTTTCATCCATATCTATATAATCCATATACATATTTTGTTTTAATTACAGTAAAATATGTAATTTTTAAATAACTCATACTTTCATTTTAATTTTATAAATATTTAATGTTTTATATATATATATATATATATATATATATATATATATATATATATATATATATATATATATATATATATATATATATATATATATATATATATATATATATATATATATATATATATATATATATATATATATATATATATCAAAAAGATTGAAACACATGCATATAAATATAACAGAAAAATAAATATGATTAAAAAAGCATAGTAATAACAAATAATTAAAAATACAGTAAATTACACGTAAAAATAAAAATATAATCATTAATTTTGTTATTATATGTCGCTATTAAATTTTAAATGAAAATATTAATTTTTTTTAAAATTATATTTGTTATTTTAGGTGACACAATATTGTTATGTATGAGTATTTGCGGTTTTTGTAAAATATTTACTATTTCTGATGTTAGAAAATTAAAAGTGTCAGAGATAAATGGTATAAAAATATGTTGATTGTCGGAATACGTTTACTCATGTTTAACTATTTTATATAATCGATATTGAGAGTTGTTTGTCTCATAATAAAGTTTATAGTCATCGGTCCCTCTAATGGGAAAATCCCAATTAAATATACATACGTATGTTTTCCTCTTATCCACTCATACCATGGGCGGATGTACATGTAGGCAGGGTGTGGCTATAGCCACACTAGTTTTTTTTTAGTTTTTTTTTTTATGTTATATACACGTTTAGTTATTAGGTAACTATAATTAATAAAAAAATATATTATCAAATCCAAGTCTAACTCACTTTTCTCTCTTATAAATATTTCTTACTTTCAGTTTTTCTCTCTCTTAGTATTTTCTTTTTCTTTTCTTCTCAAACTCCATCATCTCTCATGCTTTATCTCATATTTGTTAATCTAATAATTCTCTATTTTTTCTTCAATTTTTTCACTTAACTAGACTACATTTATTTATTAGTGATTGAAAATAAAAGATAAAATAAATATTCTAATTTTTCTTTATTCTTTTATTTTTTGAGTTGAATCCTATAATCTTAATTTGTTAAATTTTTTTTCTTTCAATTTTTCATAAATTATTTTATTTATAATAAATTAATTTTATTATTCTCTTTATCATATAAATAACTATTTAAATAATTTCATTATTCTCTTATAGAATTCAAGTGAGAGTATTAAAATTGTTGGAATCAGATTCAAGAATTAGCCTTCAAATTTCAAACTATTATTCTAACATAAAAATGATGTAAGAAAGCTTTATTTAAAAATAAATTACCAACCTCCTAATAAATAAGTGCAATATATTTAATATGATTTATAAGTTTTTAAAATTGACTTGGTCTTCTCGATAGCAACTATAAACGTGAACCGTGTTTTTTTAACTATGAAGTTTGTGAAGATTCAACTATGTAACAAAATGAGTAATCTATAATTAAATGTTCATCTTGTAACTTTTATAGAAAGAGATGTTCTTGGAACAATTAACAATGATGTTATTTTAGCTCATTTTCAAGAAATTGATACTAGACGGTTTTCATTGTAAATACACTTCATCAAACAATATTATTTTTTATTTTCAATATATTTTAGTCAGATAATTTCTTTTATTGTTTAGCCACACCAATATATAAAGTCTGGATCCGCCCCTGACTCATACACTATAATATTTATTGGCTTAATAGTCGATCTCCATAGGCCAGTCAAGAAATCCATGGATGTTTTTTTCTTCACAAATATTCTGACACGCCTAAATATATCAAATAGGATATCCTTAACAAATTCATGGTCGGTATTTAAATCCAATAAACTCTTTGAAATAATAACGTGTTTTTCAAATATATTCAAACACATTTTACGACAAACAAGACAAAAAAATCATAAATCAATATATTTTATATTTTACGAAGAAGTATTTGTTATTTTGTTTTATTTTTTATTTATAATTATATTATAGTGTATGACTGGATAAGAGGGAAACATACGTATGTAGACTTGATTGAGATTTTTTTACTAGAGGGACCGATGACTATAGGCTTTATTATGAGACAAACAACTCTCACTATCTATTATATAAAATGGTGCAAACATGAGAAAACGTATTCCGATAATCAACATATTTTTATACCATTTATCTTTGACACTTTTAATTTTCTAACATCAAAAATAGTGAATGTTTACAAAAACTGCAAATACTCGTACATAACAATATATTGTGTCGCCTAAAATAATGAATATAATTTTTTTAAATAATATTTTTATTTAAAATTTAGTAGCGATATTATCCACCTGCGTGCTATTTTTATATAATCTTAACTATATTGTCATAATTATATAATAACAAAATTAATGATTATACTTTTTATTTTTACGTGTAATTTACTGTATTTTTAATTATTTGTTATTACTATATTTTTTAATCATTATATATATATATATATATATATATATAATATATATAATTATATATATATATATATATATATATATATATATATATATATATATATATATATATATATATATATATATATAATATATATAATATATATATATATATATATATATATATATATATATATATATATATATATATATATATATATATATATATATAGTATATATATATATATATATATATATAAACAATAATATTTAATTTACGTTTAATCACATTTTTATTCTATATTTTATCACAAAAATAATTCTCCTACTTTAAAGTCAAACTGTTTTGTTCCTCTCTTATTATTTTTTTTCTCTCAAAGTCGATGAAATGTATATTTTTTAAAATTATATTTTTATTTATAAAGTTTTGCAAATTGTTATATTTCGTTACAAATTGAAAAATATATATTCATAAATAAAAAATTGTTTTCACTCACTTAAGTCAATTAATATATATCCAATCCAATCAAATCTATATTGTTGAGCCACACGCAACATTATTATTTTCATTAATAATAATAAGAATATCTCTAATTTCTTGATGTTTTTGCTATGTGAATGTCTAAATACTAATAATATTTAAGAATATAGTAGATGTGTTCTAAGAGTACAAAGTTAAACATGAAAAAAAAATCTCTAAATTGTGTGTTAGTTTTATTGAAATTTTATAATTAATTTTTTATTTTGTTTTCAATACTAATTTCTCATTTAAATTTATTTTGACATATTCTAGTGAGTCTTATTGAAAGTCTTTAATAATTCAAATACATTGTGAAAATTTATGTGAGTGTTTCGTTGAAAATAACTTATTAAAAAGATATTTTTAGAAATCTGGAATTTGGAAAATTCGCAGAGGAAATCGATTTTCATGTTTGAGGAAATCGATTTCCACAAGTAGTTTCAATTTTTGGATTTATGTTTATCGAAGGGGCAATCGATTTCCACAACTAGTTTCAATTTTGGATTTATGTTTATCGAAGGGGGAAATCGATTTCCAGGTTTTGAGAAATCGATTTTTGTCCTGTGTTCTTGTTTTTGGATTTGTTTTTTTGGGTCTGTTTTGTTTCAAGTTGTATTGTTGTATACTATAAATACTCCCTCATGTAATATTGTTTGAATTAATGTCATTTTATGAATATTCTCCTCAATTACTCTCTCTCTCTCTCTCTCTCTCTCTCTCTCTCTCTCTCTCTCTCTCTCTCTCTCTCTCTCTCTCTCTCTCTCTCTCTCTCTCTCTCTCTCTCTCTCTCTCTCTCTCTCTCTCTCTCTCTCTCTCTCTCTCTCTATTTTCTCATGATTTCACTTCACCTTCCCCAATTAACCATTTTTCTCCATTGATTCATCCTGCAAGCTATGTGTTTTGTTCCAACATTTGTCATCAAAAGCTTTGGTTTTGATCCATTAATTTGCTGCAAAGATGACTATCGTCTCCAATGATCAAGTCCCTACCAATCTTTTTAACCCTTGATTCAAAGAACTATGACAAGTTGTGTAAACAAATGAAAGTTTTATTTGGGTATCAAGACGTTCTTAAAGTGGTTAACAAGGATGTTAAAACACTTGGGACAGAAGCTACAGATGCTCAGAAGGCTACAATCAAGGAAGAGAAGAATAAAGATTACAAGGCACTCTTCTTGATTAATTCTTGTGTCGACAATAATAAATTTGAAAAGGTTGGTGATTGTGATTCGGTGAAGCAAGCATGGAAGATCTTGAAAAAAAGCTTATTAAGGGACTGATAAAGCAAAGGTGG